TCCGCCCCATTTTTAACTCCTCACTATAGGTCTTTGCATTTAGGGTGACGTGCTAAACAGAAGGCCTGAGCTAGTGGGATGTCCGCGGATATATCTGCTCAGTGAGTGAATGCCAAAGAAATACCTTAACTCACGTCAGCGCTCCGTCTTTTCTACATTTCTCCTTTTTCAAATCCATTTTAACGGCAGCATCCATGTTCTCTCTCATCCATCTTAGGTCGTTAGGATGAAGTAAGAGGAAAGCATTCTCCCTATCAAGACTGCTGAGTCTTCACATTTCTTATTTCTTCCCCTGTAGATGAATATCCTCTGAGAGCTGATTCTTTGTAGCAATACGCATGTCTCCATGCCCTTCCCTTACACCAACCCAAGCACACCAAGGGCCAGAGGCCGTTAGCGGGATTTCATTTATATACTTAATTAACCAGCTTCCCTGCAGGACAGAACTCCACTTTCATTTTTAGTCTTTTACTTCTCAGGGCCAGGGACTGAGTAAGAGAAAGGTGGTGTACAGTAGTTAAAAGATACAGGAGTTTTGTTTTTTTCGTGTGTGTGTTTTTTTTTTTTTTTTTTTTTAACGAGTCAGCCAGCTATATCTCCAGAGACTCAAATGATTTCTTAGTGATGATATCTTCAGGTTTTGCCTGATGATCAGACAATGGCCAACGTTTATACGGGTCTTACGGTCATGCCGGTCAAGTAGTCACCCAGGTGATTTTACGTGTGTGACCGTGTACTTGCACTCCCCTGGAGCAGCTCCACGAGGAATGCTGATCATTGCGATTTGTTGGGTGATAACATTGAGCATGAAGAGGATGCCTGTTTGCCTAATGTCCCACCCGAGGACTGTGGTCACATCCTTCCCTTGGGTCACGTTCACTCTGCTCTCAACCACGTTCAGGACGCTCAGTATCATTTAAAAACAGTCCTGCAGAACCGTTTGTGACCCATTCCCCTATCTGTACAGATTTTGAGTATGTTCCCTGCTGTAGAGGTTTGTTGCTGTGCACTTGTTTATGCATATTTCTGTACTGTTCCATCAGGAACATTACAAAACATTCCCAGAGCTGGAAATGTTCACGAGATTAGCTAACGTGATAGGAACTGTGTTTGATTTTTTTTAAAAAAATGGTAGCACAAAAGAATATTTTCAGCAAAACTGTCTTTTCCTGTGGGTTTTACAGAGAGCAGGGTGTTTAAATGCGGTCCATTTTTTTTAAATGTTGGTTTATTCTAGTGTAATTTAGTAATTTGAAAATCTTGTTTTAAATTCATATCATTTTGAGACCGGGAACATATATAGGGAAAAAGTTCCCTAAAGTGCATGCAGGATACTAGAAGGGAAGGCTGGTGGGTGAAGCAGTCCCAGTCAGTGTCAATCACAGAAAGAACGATCAATTACAGCGTGAACAGGAGAATCCTTAGCACAAACAGTCATCACTTCGAGGCCCCAGCGGGGAGACATGTACCCTGCCTCTCCTCCCAGAAACCTGCCACCCCTGCAAGTCAGCCCGTGAGAAACCGTCATCATTCTGGACTCTGAATTTTCTCCGGTGCACGTTTGTCCACAAAAACGTGTCCAACTTCCTCACTTCTCCGTAAAATAATGCCCCCGTTTATTGTTTGTTGGACCTGCCTGTGGATTTGCTGTAGCTCGCTTGTGCTGGATTATGATTCTCTGCTGTTCCCGGGTGAGCCCATTTTTACTCCTAGAACAAGTGGCAGTTTGTTTTTTTTTTTTCCACGGTTAACAAGACTCACCTTTTATTACTATATCCAGACAAAGTTTTGTTATTGGCTGTATTTTTATTATAAGCGTTCCTTCCTGCCACCCGCCAGTTAAGTAAAGGTTTCTAATTGAAATTTAGCTAATCGATTTAATCCATGATATTAATCAATGGTTGTTGCAACCTCATTGAGTGTTTTGGCATCTTCATACTTTCAACTCATGTATTCAAACTGCATGGAAACTGATGACGTAGAAGGCTAGCGACGGCTGAAACTGTCTTTAGGTGTGACGGTATTGAGGTGGGATATACTCTGGTTTTCTTGTCTGCCTTTTGTCCAGCTCTCGTATCAGAGAAATACCTGGTCTTGTGAAATGAGCTGGGGCATGTTCCCTCCTGTGTTCTGAAAAGCTTGCTCAGAATTGGTGTTGTTTCTTCCTCAGCTGTGTGCTAAGTTCACCAATGAGGCCATCCAATCCCAGATACGAGTAAGTCTTTTAACTACAAATGCCTTACTAGGTATAAGGCTGTTGAGGTTATTACTGTCTTCTTGAGTGAGCTTTGTCTCTTTCAAAAAGTCTGTCCACTTGATCTAAGCTGTTGAGTGTATTGGCATAAAGTTGCTCATAGTAGCATCTCTTAATCCATTTAATGAATTTAAGGACCTGTCATTATGCCGTCTGTTCGATTACTAGCGCCGTTAAATTTGGATCTTCTTTCTTTTTTTCTTCTTGATCAGTTTGGCTAACAATCTGCCAGTTAAATTGAACTTTTCAAAGGACTCGCTTTTGGTTTAATTGATTTTCTGTATTCTCTTTCATGTGATTTCATTTATTTCCCCCCTTATTTTTTTCTTCCTTTTCTTTTCTTTTAACTTGATTGTACTTTCGTCCTTCACTTTCTCAGGGTGGAAGCTTGCTTACATCACTGGTCTTTCTTCTCATCTTTTTTTGGCTTAAATTACTGGTTTCTGACCATCTTCTGTAATACAAGTGTTTAGTGCCATCAGTTTTCCTCTAAACACTGTTTTAGCCACATCCCTCAAATTTCGATGTTATCTTTTTGTTCTCTAGAAAATATCTAATTGCCCTTTGTGACTTCATCTTTGATTCATATTTGTCATAGAAGTGTGTTGTTTAATGTCCAAATATTTTTTTCCACATACACTTCAGTTATTAATAACTGCTTTAATTCTTTTATGGTCAGGGAACATAGTTTGAACGGTTTCAATTACTGTAAATTTTTTTTTTTTTTTTTGTAGCTCATGGATTCATGTTCTAGCTTGTTGCGTGTTCCAGGTGCACTTGAAAATAATTTGTGTTTTGCTATTTCGGGTGAAGTGTTATATAAATGTCAGTTCAGTTAAGTTGCTTGATAGTGTTTTTGAAGTCTGCTGTATCCTGCTGTCTACTTGTTCTATCAACTAGTGACAGGAGTTTAAATCCTCAGTCTCTGCATTCACTTCTATTAGTTTCTCCTCTATGTATTTTGAAGCTCTGTTATAAGATACATACACATCTAGAATTATGTCTTGTTGATCAATTGACCTACTTGTCATTATGAAACGTCTCTAGTTATCTCCAAGACTCCTCATCCATTCTTTTATTCTTTTTTATTTTATTTATTTTATTTTTATTTATGATAGTCACACACACAGAGAGAGAGAGAGAGAGAGGCAGAGACACAGGCAGAGGGAGAAGCAGGCTCCATGCAGGGAGCCTGATGTGGGACTCGATCCCGGGTCTCCAGGATCAGGCCCTGGGCTGAAGGCAGATGCTCAACCACAGAGCCACCCAGGGATCCCCTCATCCATTCTTTTAAAGCACACTTGTCTGCTATTAATATAGCGAACCCTACTTTTCATTAATACTTTCAGATATATGGTTTCCAATCTGTTTATTTTTAACCTGTCTGAATATTTTATTTAAAGTGGGTTTTCTATAGATAGTGTGTAATTGGATATCATTTTTGTTTTTGCTTTATTTTTTCCACTCTGGTGGTTTCTAACTTGGGCATATGTATGATGTTTAGAAAGCTGCTAGAAAGTCATGATCTGCTAATTCCTTCCCCTCAACCATGTCTCTGTTCATTTGTATTGATTGCTTTTTTCCTCCTGGCCATGTGTTGTGTTTGTCTGCTTACGTGTAGGCATGGTAACTCTTGATTGGGTGTCAGACGTTACGAATTTCTCATCCTGCGGAGTGCTAGATTGTGCTTTCCTTTTAAAAAAGTTTTAACGTTGTCCTGATGCAGAGTTCAGAGCCACACCTTCCTTTGAACATCTCCGGACTCTTTCTGTTAAAGCTCACGCACTCCAGTGTCTGTTGTCTTCGTGAACAGCTGAAGGTGTTTGAAAACAGGGGGTGTGTCCGTCTTTTCTGGAGCAATTAAGAAACTAGGGACATCGCCTCATGCAGTTACCAAAACAGTCTTGGTTATGTGATTATTCACAGGAGTATTTTCGATAACGTGTGTGGATTTAGACGTTACTGTCATGCTCGGCACAGGTTTCAAGGTGGGGGGTCCTGTTGTTTTCGACACGTTTCTGATAACCAGCCGTCTCCCGGTCGGCTCTGAATAATGATGTTCGCCTGCCTGTTCCCGGACTTAATCCTTACAGTTACCCAGAGTGTGGGGAACGTTCCTTCCAGGTGATGCGTTGCTGCTGTTGCTCAGCTGCATTCAGCAAGTCTGTTTCGTTCTCTGTTCCCTTCTCAGGTAGCCCTGCAGCTCTCCCTTCAGCTCTGGCCTTTGTCCTCAGCCTGTGGTAGAAGCCCTTTCAGGATTTCCTCTCCCCGGCAGTGTGACGAATGACTGAATTGCTTTCCGTTAGAATGGCCGGTTTTCTCAGAAAACACCCACAGCATGATTATTGCATATTCATTGCTCCAGGAAAGAAACAAAACAGAACAAAACATGGTCCACCAAGTGCAGAGGCACCTCCCTGGGCTCAGTCTGCCTGGTTTCCACGTCTCAGCAAAAGAGGACCAGCAAACAAAGCCCTGTTTCTTTCCAGTAAAATTGCCTTCTGTTACTTGGGGAAATGCTATAGCGAACCCTGAATTGCTTTTTGAGTCTTCTTTTGAGTAGGTGTGTTGCAGAGCCCTGAACCCCTCCCCCCGCAGCCCGTTCCGGAAATCTGTGTCAGATCACGTCATTCCTGAGAACAGGTGGCAAAGAGTCCAGGTCACAGAGCTAGCACAGCCTCCTCAGGGGGCCTTGTGGCCCTCCACCTCCTCCACCTCACTCAAGGCTTTCCCTTCTCCTCCCCAGGAGTAGAAAAATTGATCCACCACCTGAGAGAGCATGGCGTGCCCTTGGCCGTTGCCACCAGCTCCAGCTTACTGTCGTTCGAGATGAAGACCAGCAGACACAAGGAATTCTTCAGCTTGTTTGACCACATCGTTCTGGGGGATGACCCCGAAGTGAAGAATGGGAAACCGGATCCTGACATATTTCTCGCCTGTGCCAAGAGATTTTCTCCTCCTCCTCCCATGGAGAAGGTAAGCCTTTCTTCAGTGATGAGAAGTGGCCCCAGCGGCCCTGTTGCCCAGCACACCACCAAGGTGGGTTTTGCCCACTACCAGAGGGCCTTGTGTTCACCGTTGGAGGGTCACTGTGCAGAACTCCAAATGCTTGGCGAGAAGGGCAGTGGGGTGGCCAGGGGATGGTAAGGTCACATCAGTTTGTGGGGGAGCATGTCTCCCCGCGTCACCAGGTCAGTGATCTGGGATGCACGGACGTGATCATAGAAGCTTATCTTTGGTAGAACACTGCCCAATGAATGGTTTGCAAGGAAGGGTGGCAGGACATCGTCCTTGTTTGGAATGAGCAGACTTCAAGGAGCATATGGATTTCAACACACATGTAAATCATCAAGACCCACTGTGCTCTCCCCAAATGCTTGTTGAGGGCTATTTTGTTACTGCCAGGATTTTGCTCATAGTGACCACTGTTTTTATCATGAAGTTTCCAGGTGTCTTTTTCTGCAGGATGGGGGCACTCATAGATTTTGTGCTCCAGTGTCCTTTCTCCAGCCTGTGTGCAATACTTCATTACACAGAGTCCACACTGGAGATGAAGCAGAGAGTTTCAGTAACGTGGAACCTCGTTTAGAGCTGGTGGATAGTGTTTACTCAGCTTTGCTTCAGATTCTCCTCTCTGCACTGATACTGTTAGGATGGATACTTAGCCTCCACTGTGTGCTTATGCAAATTCCAGAGCAAGAGGGAGATGGTCTTCGGTGGTGGTGGTGGGGTGCTGAGGTCTGTGTGTCGTGCAGATTCCAGAACTGCAGGGAGATGGTCCTGAGAGGGGGCGGGCTGAGGTCTGACTGTGTGCTCGTGTATATTCCAGAACCACAGGGAGATGGTCCTGAGAGGGGGCGGGCTGAGGTCTGACTGTGTGCCTGAGCACATTGCAGAACTCCATGGGGCCTTAGTTGACAAGGTGTTTCTGTGGGTGATGTGTGAGTGCCGGCAGCAGGGTGGGCATTGCTCAGGGAGACAGTGGGCTCTGTGTTCCCTGTTGGTCTCTGGTTTTCAGGACTTGGGGTTACAGTCAGTTCAGGGAGGAACAGTTCGTGACAGTTCTTTTCCGGCTGTCTCCTCCCCTCACTCTGCAGAGAGCCAGAGATGGGATGTGGCCCTTTTCTGACACAAATGACAGGCACCATTCAGACCACAAGAATGACTCAAAACCCTCTTCCAGCTGAAGCCGAGTGACTGGCACATGTTGTTTTTTTTGTTGTGTTTTGCGTTGCTTGTCTCGGGGTCCACCTCCCTCCGAGGAGCATGCAAGGCAGTGACCGTGTGTGCATCAGGTGCTCCTCTGTGCGCCTTCCCACACTTCACTTCCTGTCTCAGACCAGGCGCCTGAATCCACACATACCCCCAGCCTCGCGGCTCGGTCCACAGCGTGCTACCCAGATATGGGGTGCCCCTGCCAGCCACCCTTCTGCCTGGCCAATGACAAATTGGGCGTGGGATGGAATGCTCAGCCCCCTTTCTCAGTTTCAGTCGCTCACTAGAATGAGGCACGGCACCCAGGGAGACATCTCGCGTGTGTTTTCTGATGTGTCAGGAAGGATACAACTCGGGAGCAGCCCTGGGGAGGGGATGGTTGGGACAAGGGCTGGGTGGCTGGGGACACTAGGCTCCCATGCCCTCCGGGTGCACCTGTCCCAGCACCTCAGTGTGTCCCTCAAGCCAGAAGCTCTGCGAACCCCTTGCTCTGGGGCTCGTATTGCAGGTTTCGTTACATAGACGCTGGGGCTGGAAGGTCCATCCCTCTAACCGTGCCTTGGTCTTTCTGGAGCCCGGCCCAGAGCCATCTCAGTAACCAGGGACAGTCACTCAATTAGCGGAAACTCAAGAAAGGGGTTGATCACAAATAACAAAGATGCTCCAATTGCTCAAGAAATTCCAAGGATTTTGGGACTTCTGTGCCAGGAGCCAGTGACAGAGACCAAACATGTTTTTTTATGACATCACAGCCATGAAGGATCATTGAGTGATAGAAGTACCACCATAGTGTCATCGATACACAGACATGGACTGGTTCAAATCTCATGACTGAATACGGCTCAACCACAGTTGGTGATGAGGGACGAGCCCACGGTCACCCGGCCTCTAGGCCGTAGAGTGAAAGACAAGCCCCTTTCTTTCCAGGGCTGCCCGGACAGATCTGAGATGGAAGGAGTGTCCGCTTCCTGTGTCAGGCCATTGATACGCCCGCATGCTTGGCATCCTACTGCAAGTACCATAGAAATTCATTCTCTTTCCTAAGAACCTCGCTTCCTGAGCTGCTCTGCACCTTCACATTATGAAGCCCTCCTGCCAGGAGAGCCATTTTACTGTTTGGTGCAAGTTGCTGTTTGTTCACAAGGGACTAGAAGCGGCCACACTGGACAGACTGGGTCGCAGAGTGCTCCAGCGTCTGTAGGCACCTCCCTTAGTTACGATCTGTAGGACCTGATAAACGCTATGTAGGATAGTGGGATAGTGGCCCTCACGTGAGCTGCTTGTAAGGCGGAAGCAGTTAAAGGGAAAAAAGAGAGTACGATGCCTCCTGTGATAGCCGTCCTCCTTTTGCAAGGCACCATATCACTGGAACGTGGTATTTCCGTGTTTCAAAGCGCGTAGGGAAATAGTCGATGGGGAAAGCACGTGCTCGCTCTCACGTACTCACTTTGCATGAGGCCATTTGCGAGGAAACCGTGCAAAGCGAAGGCACAGCTGCAAAGTGAACGCAGAGCTCCGGCGCTCCCATACTGTCTGCACATCCCTGTGTGTCTTCTCACTGACAGTGTTTGTTTTAGACTTGTCAAAGAAAAATGAGCAATTGCAGATCTGAACGGTAATTTAGCTCATAAAGTGTTCTAGACGTTACCCTTGCTGCTAATCCGTGTTTGTTTATGTGTGTATTTGTCTTGCAGAAATGAAACCTTTCTTGTCATATTTCTTAGGCAAATACAGTCCAGGCTTTTTGGGTTTCTCTTCGGGCCATCCGCATGTGGTGATACCAGCGGAAGGTTTTAACAGGCTCCTTGTGGTGGGCACCCCCTTAATTTTGTACTTGGATTCTTTCTTCTACCTAATACACGAAGCACTTGCAAAGACGGCTGCTGAAATATGAGAAGCTTCTTAGAACATGTCCTGCTGCTTTCTCGTTGATGCAGTGCAGGCGCATAAGAGTAGCGCGCCTGCCAAGTTCAAGGGCGTTTCATACGATTATTAAGTCGCTGGAGAGATTCACAGTTGCCATTGGGGATTTATTATGCGGTGGGTGTCATCCAGTTAATTAGGGACAGTAGTAGTAACAGAGGAGTAAAAAACAAGCAGTGTAACGGGAAGGAGAAATGATGGTGAAGCGTTAGTTACCATTTTGCCAGGAGATAATGCCTAACGGAGCTGGCGTGAAACAAGTTCTCACTGAAACCATTATGTCTAAGCCATGCATGTGTCATTCTTTTGTGCTAAAAATAAGCAGAAACGGTGCCATCTCCACAAGTCCCCGTAAGCCTCCTCAGCACTAACGAGGACTCATTGAGTGCCTGCCGCGTGCCAAGGAGGCAGTTGGCGTGTCCTCCCCCGGCTGTTGGACACCCCGTGGGGAGACCCCGTGAGCCGCGGTCCCCTGGGCTCCAGCTCCCATGGCACACGCGCTTCTGCAGACTTGCAGGCGTGAGCGCCAAGGCTCCAGGCCCCAAGGCGGTTTGTGGGACAAGCTGGGAGTCACCCCCAGGCCCTCGGGCTGTGTGGTTCTCCACTCGAGTTCCCAGTCCACAAAGATGCACATCTCTGGTGCAGAATAAAAAGGGTGGCGTCGTGTATGTGTGATTTGTTGGTTGACGTTTATTACAACTAATCCTGAAATCGATTCCAAGAAGCATATTAGTTACAACATGGCCTCTTTTAGTTTTCTTGTTAATGTTAAGAACTGAGTTTTAGGGTTTTTTAAAAAAATTCTTCTTTATTTATTTCTTAATGATCTTATTTATTTGTTCATGAGAGACACACACAGAGAGCGAGGGAGAGAGAGAATGAGGTAGAGACATAGGCAGAGGGAGAAGCAGGCTCCATGCAGGAAGCCCGATGCAGGACTGGATCCCAGGACCCCAGGGTCACGCCCTGAGCCAAAGGCAGACATGCAACCACTGAGCCACCCGGGTGCCACAATTTCTCTTTTATTTTATTTTGTTTTCAAGGATGTTCTTCACATTAAGTGTTTATATACATAAAGAGAAAAAAAATTAAGTGCATTTTAGTTGGTGAGTTGTAATTGAATAATGTCTTTTTCCTGGAAAACTAAGACCATTCCCTCAATTACAGAAGTAATCACCTGAGCTGGCTTTTTGCTGTGGGCTGTTAATATGTTTTACGTGACCACCTGACAAGGAAACGTGTTAACTTAAGAATCACTCTCAGTGCCTCTTTTTACTATACATTGTGTCTGTCCCCAGAGTCTACAGACAGGTGTGGCCTGTCAATGTGCCACTGTCATTTTTGGGTCCGTGAAGAACCACCCAGAATAATGGGAAGCAAGCATATGCATTGCTTGTGTCAAATTTAAAATTAAACTGATGGCCAGGTGAGCTGTGCTGGGCCCTGAGTGTTTGGCCAGGTGAGCTGTGCTGGGCCCTGAATGTTTTACGTGATTGGATGTTCCTTAGTTATTTAGCCTCCCACTGCCAATACCCCCAGCAGAGGCATGACCGTACTGGAGCACCTTCTGGGGGTGAGGAGAGTCACCGTGCCATCGTAGTCTGCCATTGCCACCTCCAGGGGCGTCGGGGACCCAGCAGCCTCCACTATCCCTGGCCAGGCCTCACCACCACTTTCTCCTCCTGTCACTCACAACCACTAAGCAGAATACAATGGCTTCCGTATCATGTCATGTCTCCTGCCCCAGGATTTACCCAGCCCTCCCCTTATTTCATGAAAGAAAGAAAGAAAAAAAAATCTCAGGCATGTTAAATATTACCTATGTCAAATATTACCTA